AGTTCTTTGTAAGTTGAGCGAAATGTTTTTTGTTTGAGCAACACGCAGCCGACCTAACCTGGCAATGCTCATTGTCCGATGAACTTTCGCTTGAACACATGTCCACGATCTCGCAATACTGAAAAGTGAAACATTTCCCAATTGGGTGAACTAGAGGATAAGAAGAAATGAGATAAAATGCGATAGCGGACGATGAATGATCGCATGGTAGCACTACAAGAGTAAGCAGATAAGCATAAGAACCAAAATTCGAAAAAAACCAAAGCTGAGAAGTAACATTACCAATCGTCTCCCCCTAGCTTCAGCTTCCAGTCTGCGTTGCTTCGCTAACTCAGCTTTTTCTCTCAATCTCTTAGCTTGCTGTTTCCTCTTCAATCTCTCGAGTTGTTCGAATTCTTTGATAAGATCTGGACAATGCTAAAGTGAACCATATATTTGATATCATAGATTTTCTGGATATTCAGACAAGGTTTCGAGATGAAGCAAAACGAAACGAAAGCTTACCATGTCTTTCTCATCCACGTAGCTGTCTGGTTCGCAGTTAATTTCATAACCGACCCATTTGACATGGTAGAGGTAGTGGCCATCGTGAGTCATCTAAGTGTGATTGTGCTTGCAATGAGATCACCGCTTTCAAATCAACTCACCTCACGCGAAAGAATCCGCTCAACTTCATACTGGTCGTTTCTTAACAATAAATGATAAATGTCGTTCTAATAAACGTATGTGGAAACAAACTCTATGTTTTCCGCATCAGAGCTACTGCTATACTCTTCCAGTAAAACAGATGCCACAGACGAGACATCCGATGCACATCCATTGTCATCATCAATCGAAACTTGATTCATCTCCGCTACAGGAGCGGGAGAGGGTGGAGGCCTATCGTCCAAGAAATGATGGTAGGGAGGTGAATTGGGAACAAATGGAGGTGATTTGGGAACAAATGGAGGTGAATCGGGAATAAAAATCTCATCAGGTTGGATGTCACGTGGACTCTCACATCCGTCTTGGTGTCGAGGTTGAGGTTCTTGGGCTAGAACAGAGTAAATAAAAGAAAGAATGTACTGCTTTGGTAAACTGAATTTTTCTGCTAGGGGTTATGGCAATATCCTCCACGCTTCTATTGAAAAAATTCTGGCTGCCTTAAAAGCGGCTCGTTTGTCATAGCTTAAAGAAGCCTATATGTCTATAGTTTTAGGCCCGTATACAGGTACATCCCCGCTGGGGAAGGGAGTGCATATAGGGGATGCCTCATATCTCGCTACCCTAGGTATCTATCTTCTTCCTTCTCTATTTTGCTTATGAGGGTTCACATTTTATA